AATACACCAATTTTTACCTTTTAAGTTTTATTGATTTCTGCTCTGTTCTTGTTTTCTGCTGGCACTCATTTGTGTGTTGATGCCACTTTATGTTTCATAGAATGTGTACATTTTCAATCTCCTCACTTAGGAGTTTACTTATGATTTCATGTGTTTTAATGTTTCTGCTGTTTTCTGACTGACGTGATATTTACTCTTTTACAAGGTATGTCATCTTAAAGTGTTCTGAAATCTTTTTTATTTTGTATGAAAATTCATCACGACAAGAATGCGGCAATCAGTTTCTGTAGCCTTAAGATCTGACTCCGAATTGTTTGAACGAACGAACGTCTAGTTTCGTAAATTACACCTTGGTTAGTGCTGTTTGGTGGATGGTGGTAATCAGACCCAACTATGGATCGAATTAAGTGAATTCGTGTCAGACATTCATTTACTCAAACAGACATTAGAATGAAAGGCGGAAAGGTAAACCTGCTAATTCCCTTGGGTAAAGCCTGAGTTACAATTTACAGCCAAAGGAAAATAAACTAAAGACATGTTATAAATGAAGTAAGAGTGCGGCACATATTCTCATGTTAACATAGTAAAGGTTACAAGTGAATAAATGACAATGTTAAACGTGTATGAACGATTAATAAAGAAGTGGTCTATCCAAAATCCTGAATAACCCATGTAGGCGTGACACTGACAGTGAACTATAGCTTTAGAAAAACTCTTAAGTAATCAAAATCAACGTTTTTCGGGCTGCGTTTTAATCCTGTCTGCAGCAACATTTCGTTTGTGAATAATCAGCTAATTTAGATCAATAATTCTTGACAGCTATGAATTTTGATTACAAACAAAACTTCTTATCTGTTCACATAACATGGTGTGATGTTGGTATTTTAATAACTAGTCAATAAATCATTTGAAACATTTTCAAATAATTACTTTCATAAAATGACTCTCAGCAATCTAGTAAAGTAAGATTGCAAAAAACTATGAATATATATTATGAAAGAATGTGTCATTTCATTTCCAATATCCATCGTTTGATGCAATGTATGAATGCGATCCTATCAAAAATTGATGTATTATCATTTAAATTACAAACTTTGATTTGAACTGTTTCATTCTGGGGTTGGAAGCGATTCATCTGGAGTAAGTTTTTCTTGTCATATAATGTTAACTAATTATAAAGCTCAGTTCGATATACTTTATTAATTGTCGCTCACAGAAATTTATTCTTATCTGAATAATAGTTTTGATAGAACAGTGAGAAGACGTAATTGATCTGAAAAATGTGGTGTATTTGCGCTATACATTTCGAACAATCTGGTCACACATATTTACTTGTCAAGCATTTTATAGGAAGATGAATAAAAAATAAATTAAATAAAATAAGACAGAGATTTAAAGCAGCCATAGAGAAAACATACAACGCTGCTAAACTGATTATCATTGAAAAGACCAAGTCCATGATTTCGCATATACCTAAACGTTGCTCTAATGATTACATCACATCCCATTGTATTTATCAATGTACATGTTTGTGTGGACACACATACATAGGGAGGAGTAATCGGACTTTGCAATCAAGGGTTGTGGAACATGTACCTAAGTGGCTTCAAAATCAGCTAACGTCAGATGAGCCGATTAACGTTGGAAATAGAAAACCATGTTCATCGATCTCCAAACACAATTGAGACAGGGCATAAGATTGACATCAAGATAGCCTTCAAAACATTGTATTGAAATGTTGAAGGACGAATTTTGAGGTTTATGGAGGCCTTGGCTATTAGAAAATTAAAATCCCCCTTATGTGTGCAGAAACAATTTGTCATAACCTTGAATTTACCTTGGTAATCTTTAAGCCTAGGGTAATGTGACAATTTTCTACCCCTTCTTATTCTTCTCATATTACGTTAATTTTCTCTCTCCTTTTATTTAATTGACCTTTTATACATCTTCATATGTGTGACCAGATTGTTCGAAATGTATAGCGCAAATACATCACATTTTTCAGATCAATTACGTCTTCTCACTTTTCTATCAAAATTTATAAAAGGGACAAATTTTTTTCAATAATACTTGTTGTATTTCAATGTCATTTATTGAAGTCGAAAAAATTCATAGGGTTTCATCGACATTATAGTATGCTTAGGTTGTTCAATAATATTATCTGCAATCAGTGGAAATCACATATATTAAAATTTCATGACTGAATGAAATAAGGTAAGTCATTTTTAAACAGTTTTTGTCTGTATAAATTAGCAGAACTTTTAAAAATAATGAAAGAATTTGCAGAAAACGAATCAATTATTTTATTTGGTTTCATCAAAGTCAGAGTAAAACATAGTGCTAGATAATCAACATCAATGAATGAAAACTACTTAACAGTAATGTAGCTTTTCACTGGTTCTAACTTAAATGATTATGAATTAATCCCAGGTTGTTAATCACTTTTTGATTGATAAATCAATGTAAGAACAAAAACTCCAGATACCATATATTTAAGAAACAACGTTTAGCGAATACTATAGATACTTTCATCATAAAACATGTACCATGATATCTTTCGATATGATGGATACAAGTAAGCGAAGTTTGTGGTTTTTTGTAGATTGAAGCCTACTCTACAATTTCTAGTAAATTATTTATAAATTTATATATACTTCCAATCGTAATTCATTGCTTGAGTTGAATACATTTCTGTTTGTTTAATAATACTTGATAAAAATGTTTACTTCAAATGCTTAAGTTTTATTTGAACAACCAAAAAAAATTAAATAAAATAAACGACCGTATAGTGAATCAAAGTAGTCACTGACAAGTTCTGTAGGTTGTTCCGTAAGAAAGACATACTGTACATAAGAGTATGTGAAACTCGTTGGGTTAAAAAGAATCCCTTGTTATGACATTAGTAATAGGTTATAACAGACATTGTGATTTGTTTTGTTGCTGAATGATGATCTCTATTCGTGACCGAAATTTTATGTTTAGATTTTGTCTACACTACAATTTTTACTGAGCTCATTTCTTAATGATCTAAAACCAAAACTAATCAAAAATGTACTACTTAATGGTAAAATAACATTTTTTGAGAAAATAATAGTTTTATATTATTCTAAAAATAAATGAAAATAACTTATAGAACAATAAAGATAACGAAAAGCGAGTGTAATTTTACAACTTTTGAAATAATCACAATTTCATAAACTTGAAATGGTTTAAAGAACAATCTATTCGAGCGAATCCGCCTGACAAATACAATTGTTCTCATGAAGAGTATGGAATAATTTTAATGCATCTAAATGTATATATTTCATTTTCTGGTTCGTAGTCGTTAATTACTTCCAAACAGACTTTTTATGATATTGCTTAGTATTAAAGCATTTATTATATATTGAGTATTGTTATGAAAACTTATGAGAATATATCTTGTGGATTATTCTCGAAATTGACGAAGCAATTATGTAATCTAACATAGGAATTCAATGATCACTTTCATTTGTCATATTCCAAAGTCAGATGACACAGGTTTTTTAGAAAATATTCTGTGGTTGAGCAAATTAAGTTTTATGCAACATTAGTTCTTTTGATATTATATCATATTTATCATGCTTTATATGTGATTTGTCGTTTTATAAAGCATTTACTAAAATGTTTTACAGTTCTCCAATCAAACCAGATTGTCATTCATAATGTTTCATAACAATGGTGAGTTAGGAAAAAATTACATTTATACAATTCTGTGTATGATACTCAAATAAAAATCCTGCTACTAGCATTATTTAGTACAAAACGAGACTTTTAAAAAGTCAATTATTATTTAAATCATCATATATTCTTTTTTGATAGACAAACACGAAAGTTTGTTGGTTAATGTTGTTTTTCATAATCACTTCACTTACATTCGAAGTTTTCAGTTTAGTTTTCACGGAAATGTCAATAAAAATAGATTTCAACAGAGTTAAAGTACCCACTTAAAAAATCATAAAGATGTAAGGAATACATAAAAATCTTTTTTTCTTAATAAATAGATTTTTTGTTTTATTGTAATCTGTAGTAAGCGTTAGGATTTGCTTTGTTCACAATATTGATTATTTTTTTCGGAAATATGTTTTACATGAAATTTTATTCTCTGTTCTCTTCATATATGATTATAATGTTGAGTCTATCTGGAAATGAAATCCCATAGTCAAATTGGAATGTGTAAAGTTTTGAAAACTTACAATAATTTTGTAAAAGATGTATTTAGCGTCTGTAGAAATAAAAATGTTTATCGATATAGAGAAGAGAAAATAATATTGTGTAAGCAAAAGAAGTTTTTATGTCATTATTATTGTCTCACTGCGGTCTTGAAAACATTAAAATAAATTTATAAATGTATACGCTTAATAAATACAATATTTTTGTGAAATTATTACACAACTATGGACCATGTTGAATAAATATATAAATATAAATTTATCTACAAATTTTATTTCAATCTATTCATTCAAAAGGATTGTGATGGTGATAATCGTAACTTTGTACGAAAATGGAATTTAGTAACCTGAATTGTGCTTGTCTTCGAAAAATATACTGAATGATACTGATGAAACTGCTTTTCTCATTGTTAAACATTTATTATCATCATCAAAGTACATTGCAAAGATTTTCCTGTTTTGCTTGATTTCATTCACAGTAGCATTCCAATGATTTTCAATACAATAAAATCAAATCACATCAATTATCTTATTTGCTTTGTTACTAACAAAATCACTGCAATCAAAGTTCTACAACATTTCAGTTGCATAGAGTTACTTGGTCACAAATATGCGGTGTTGTTTTCCTAAGTACAGCAACTGTTTAACTAATAATGATATAAGTTGAATTTTGTATTATTCTTTTTCAGAAATATAATTCTGAATTTGTACATTCAATTTTTTCTCAAGTCAATTGAAAGAAATCCTTGTTTCTGTGTTGAATTACTCAAATCACTTTTTTTAAACATATAATAATATTAGTCTGAATGAAACGCTTTGAAATGAACGCATTCACATGTACGAACAAATCATGTAATGACTAAACGTTTTAGTTTTCTAGAGTTTTCGTTGATGCTATTGAAGCTTTTCGCCAAAACGATGTGATCGATCCCAACCAAACAATCGCGATAACGTATGAATTTGAGAGAGTTCATTGGAATAAAACACAAATAGAAAACAAGTATTTATTCATCACACTGTAAACATAAGAAACATTTTACAATGCTGTTTTTTTGTTATTGTTTTATTGTAAAAGGTATCTTAAACAACAAAATGATTCGGTGTCTTAAACTACATATCACTGTAACAGTTTAAACGAACTGGGAAACTATGATCGAAATCGTTTATTTTCTGATACGGAGTTAAGTATAGTTCACAAATCATTGAAATTTCCTATTCCTTTAGCTGCTAAAACGATAGATATATGCATAACAAACACGTAACATATCATCACTGAAATTTGCTTCATTTTTATCTTCACTTGTGTGATTTACCTTATAAGCCACTTGCATCTTTACAGTAATATCATCTAAATTCGAATATGACAACAACCAGCTTTGAAAAAAACAAACACTTCATTTAGCAGTCAAAAGATACATTTTTGCACTCGTTAAACAAATGTCTAAGTAAATTATTGTACACCTGTTCTAGATCAGTATGAAAATCCAGCACCATAAATAAGCGAAAGCGATTCTAAACTTACCAATATAAGTTCTTCCAGATTGCATTGAACAGTATGGTTGCTGATAAATAAAACACAATTATTTTTTGTTAATTTCAATTCTATATATATTTATAATTTTAATGTAAGTTTTAAAGTTATATATTTCTTAAAGATTTTGTCCGTTACGTTGCATTTATTACAAAAATTATTAGGATGGAAAGCTCATATGTCAATCACTAATTCAGGACGTATTCTGATTAATTGTATTTATTCAATTTGAGTTACGATTTTAACTTACTTGACCCGAAAAAACAATTTACATATATGATACGTGGTTCTATTCTTTAAATTTAAGTATAAAATCCACTGACATGTTAGGAGTTTTCTCATACAAATATATTTTCAATAAAATGTTTTCGACCTATAACACCGAAGCTAAAAATTTTATTTTCCAGAGATATACAAATCCCTATATTTAAAGCATATTTCTATATTCTTTACGAAATATGAAATGCAGAATATGTGGAGGTTGATTAAACATCAAAATAGCAGTGATGCGAATCTCTTCATCAGTTTCTATAAATCTATCGTTACTATGCGCATAGAAATGTAAACAATTTCCTAAACATTAATATTTTGTAAATTATTTAACATTTACAAAACATTATTTTCTCGTTTGTTTTTTAAAACTATATCTGACATCGGCTAATAAATTCGATTTAAAGAGCGTTTGTTTCATTTCTAATTTAATATTAATAAAACATATTGTGTGTAAAGAGAATTTGGTGGTATTAAGTTGATAACCAAAGAAACGGTACAATTTAGTCATATTCAGTATAGGTAATCTTTCTATAGTTATCTAATCATTTATATACAAGACTTAAAATACTGATCAAAGCAAATAATTATATATTACTCAAAACTACCATTTTACCGTCCTTACGAATCATTGATAAAAGTTCAGATTTGTAAGCTAGGGATTACATAAAACTGCTTCATAGACAAATGGTTGTACACCCGTAACTCAAATAAGGAGATTCGACTTTAATTAGTTTCGTTTATTATACCATATACATTCCAGACTTTCAGAAATGGTCAAATAACAGCAATCGACTAACCACAATTTTTAAGCAATCTGATAAGATAAAGTGAGCGTAACCAATTAAATTAATGATTTGTTCGTCTCAGTCATATTGATTAAAATGCAAATCAGTGTAACCAAATAATTAACTTAGACATATTAAGAAACTGATACTGAATTATACAAAGCATAGCCTTCATTATGAGCTAATTTGTTTCATTGATTTATTCAGAATAAAGCTTTTTAATTCTTGTTGAATTTATAATATTTATCGCTTGATTTTATCATACCTGGTGATATTATAAGCAGTATCACTTACAGTTTGCATGAAGTCGATATTTGTCCTTACCGAACGATTGTTCAGTTTCTGAATCGTTCGATAATTATCGGCCATTCTACCAGATTCTCGAAATGAAGAGATTCGAAGTTGACGGAGAGATTTTAACTACAATGAGAAAATCATGTAAAACTACATTGTACAATATATGATACACACTAAAAGTTTTATTTATTACAAACGATTACCTCCCTTTAATTGTAAAGAAATTATTAAAATATAATAGCTAATTAAAGGTTTTTCAGTTGCTTTCCCTGCGTGTAAAATAAATATGGCCTAACACCCAACTGTCAGATTTTCTGAAATTCAGTCATGAATGTTTGAATACTACTATTAATTAAATTTAACCTTAGAATTAATAAGAATATAAACAGCATATGACATGACTTGTCAAACACAGAGGACATTTATTGCTTTTATTTGGCATACTTTTCAGTGTTCAGTACAAATCAGAACATAAATAATATGGAATATTTGTCTGCTGCTGAAATATTTTTGGGCATAAACGTTCCAATTATATATATTTATAGACTGTGTTATTCTTAAATTCACTCTTTTTTGTTTAAATTTTCTTACAGTCAACAAATTATTTTGACACAATTTATTTCGTTCTGAAATTCGTTTATAACATTTTGATGTCAGTACTGTCTTCATTTCATAAAATATGTAAACTTAAAGTCCTAAGAATTATATATTTTATTGTATTTGCCCATACCTGTTGGGGACGTTAGATCCCCAGAGTTCACTTGATAAAGGCCTCAGTGTCGGATTTCATTCATGGGCCGACCAGTTAACCTTGAGATCATATTTCTCACCAGAAAAATCCCTGACTGTGATTGGGTGATGTGTTATTTTAGTACGCTATTTTCGTGACTCTCCCAAGGACGTTTCTATGATGTAACAATAAACGTGATTTGTGGGCTTGAGATCATCGTATTTGGTGGGTACTTGTAGAATACACTTTCTACGCCATATCAAGACTTCTTGATATAGTTAGCCGGGCAGGGGACAACGCATTAGAAAAGCCTACTGTGTTACTGGTTCATTGTCTTGTTCTCGTTTATCGAATGAGGTGAACTCGTAATAGTTTCAGGCATATCGAGTGACGAGCATAATGTGACTTTTTGAATTTATATTTGAAGTTCTAGTTCTTCTAGAGTACTACTGAACAGCATTCATGTCCAGGTTGAGAAAAGTACTGTTTAGAAATATTAAACATTAGGCAAATTTCTGTCATGTCATTATATCCTTGAGGTCTAGAAACATCTTATGATGGTCTAAAAGATTCCGAAGTCCATTTGAACAATTATAAGTTTTATGATGCAGTTTTTTGCTTGGTGTCGGAATTCCCTATTTTGTACACAATATCGACAGTTACGAGATAAAGATTTTCCTACAAAAAAGCCCATTATTTTGAAATTGTAAAAAACGATGTTCATCATGATGTCTGAGTAATAATAAATGAAAAAAAGAATCTCGAATGATTTTTACAAATGAATATTCATTATGATGTGTAATTCATTCTCTTACCAATCAACATAGAAATTAAAACCACTCCTAAATGATAGCAGGTGATAATTGCAGTTATCAGGTCATTGAGCACAATAGTTATGAGTAATCATCAAAGTCTCATTATTTATCTGATAAAAATTACTTCTGATTGTCTAACTTATTTTTGACTTGCCTGAAATTGCTATATTCTAATGAAAAAGAACGCGAAATAAATGCTGATCTTTTTTTAAAAAGTATACCTACAAATGATTGAATCACCATAAATTCATGAAATTAAGATAGAACTTAAAAAAACATCAAAATTATAGAAAATCATCGCATCGACTGTTGTTAGAAAAAATATATGCAATATTTCTGCACTGTTTATAGAAAATAAACAGCAGACATTGCTCTAATAAAGTTATCAATTATTATTGGTTAAAAATGTATCCATAATCTGACAACTACTTAAATGTAAGTTATCGTAAATTTTTAAGTTGGAAATATAAAAAGTGCACGAGAATGATTTATTTGGCATTAACAGTTAAAAATAATTTCAAGAAAATGATTTTTATAATATCAGTCAGGTATCAATTTTATCTGTCATTTTAAGAGTTGGTGTTCGCCAAATCATAAATAATAATATAATGATATAGTTGACCAAACCACGGCTACTATGTGGGAAGAAAATAAGTAGTAATGAATAATGAACGCATCATTTTAATCAATGAAGTTAAAGGCTGTATTTATGCTTCAACGTATATTTGAAGTATTTTTTCGAGAATTGTTCTCAGTAACGCTGATGAATTCATTTTCTATCTTGAATACCAAATGTTTCTTCGTATATCCTTTTCTGCTTTGTCTTCTGAACGATATTTTTCTCTTGTCATACTAATGTTATATAATATGTTGATCCATATACATTTATGCTTGACTTAGTGTTGATAATAAGTAACTGATAGAGGTTAAAAATACTGAGGGTCATTTTAAAAGCAACAATGAAGTGAAATGTACTGAAGTAACGTTTAGCTAAAACTCTTAAAGTTGAAAAAAAAGATATATTGGCAACTGAGCATAAAGGTTAAATGAAAGGTTATGGGTTTTTATAGAATAGTGAGTTTGTAAGTGGTCCGCTTATTTCTGATAGTTCTTAGTTCATGAAAATTTACTTGGTCATATTTATTCAATTTACTGGTTATTTGATTTTTGATTATTTAGTAGGGCGAAATTAGATTATATAGTTTATCCGTTTTTGCAATCAAATATTCCTTTATTCGAAACTGAAATCCTAATAAGTTGATAAATATTACTTTGTCAATTCGTCGATTAACTCGTATTTACTCAGTCAGTTGTTATAATATCTAATCAGTATCCATTTTATTTTTAAATGAATTCATGTTTACCTGTGTTTCTGTGATTATAACTGGTTGGTTGAGTATAATCCAAGTGACTGTTTCATAACAAGCAGGAAAGGGTAAGGAACCATGATAGGTCATATATTGAGCAGTGGAAGGAATTATTGCATTCAATAACAAACCGTGAAGCTTCTTATACTGCCCTACACAAAAAAACGCATGTAAATTAAAAATGAAGTTAGTAAACTACACCATTCAAACATTAATCTAAATAATTGACCAATAGCTGAAAGAAGCAATCTTATTAAATTTCGTTGTTTACAGATTAATTTTATTGCCAAACTACCTAAAAGATGATATGAGCTAGATCGGAATTACTAAAATGCTTGAAGGGTTTTAATCATTGTGCAAAGTGTGAAAATGACAGCTACTTTGTTCTAGGTATCTGACTGGAGAAGAGTTATAACTCAGCAAGATTTATTATGATAATATCTTTTATTCAGTTTGCACTATCATATTTATGGTTAACAACCAAATCATATAGTCCATTGAAAAAAGATAAGAAAATTATATAATGTTCAAGAATTTGAGGAAAGATGATAAGTGGAAACCAAACGTGTGAAAGGTAATTGTGAACTTGATAAGTCAGGGAAAGGTGGATAATAAACTAAGCATGTAATGAATAATATAGAATAACATACATTAGAAGGACCGATTACTGGTAGTTTACAGTCTATGGAAATAACGTGCTGGGTCCACGGAAGATTGATAACTTCCAAGTGCTGCCTTTGCATACAGAGCTTAGTTAGTAAAAGATGAATTGCCAACGCCTCTACAGTAAAAACATTTTTTATCTGAGTTCCTGTTGAACAACTATTTGGCTATGTGAATTTTCGAAGGACATATTGGCTATTCTTAGTTGATTGTCCACCTTGAGTAAATGTTATAGTCAAAAAGTCTTCTTAACTGAAATGTCATTAGTTCCTCATTGAAAACAATATGGGTTAATTTCGTTTATTTATTTACCCCTGATAGGTTAAGTCAGTCATTAAATGCACCTTCATATCTTCGTTCATTCACTATCGGTATTGAGGTAAAGTTAAACAGTTTCGTTTTATTACCTGAAACTAAACGAAGTTAAATAAAAGTTATGTAATAACTCTGTTGATTGTCTGTAATATGGCTTTTTTAAACTTTTACTGAATTGTCTTTTGCTGAACATTGAAGAAACAAGCTCTGTATATCTTTCTTGAATATCGATAATGTTTAAAATTCGGCAATCCTAATTCATTCCAATGATATTATAAGAAATTTGTGGTTTTAATTTTACAATAATGTATTCTTCTTGCTTCACCTTTTTTTCGTCACTGATTACATAAACATAAAGTAATACAATGTAGTGGAATATCTTCAGTTCTATATTACTTATTTCATTTATCAGATCTAACACTATCTATCGTTGGCTTTGTGAAAAAACGAAATATTCCTATTCACTTACAGAATTATTGCACTTAAGTTCAGTTATTCATTAGTTTATCGTATAACCGTATATTTCAAAGAATATAAATCTTAAGAACAACTAAATGAATATCAGATGTTGAAGCGCTTGCTGTTTTGTACAGCATTTCTTAAAAAATAGTGAACCTGCCTATTAGAAATGAATTTCCTCTGTTTTTCTTCATTTGATGAAATTATCATGTTTGATAATTTCACAACAAAAATGATTCATTTAAAGCCTTGATCAACAATGTGAACACTGTAAACAAAATCACAGTTTTGATGAAGTAATATTCTATTTTTAATACAATAATTAACAAATAAATGAGTAATAAGCGATTCTGTATGATTTGACTTACCTTTTAATTGCACCTGATCCGCCATTGAAATTATAGCTTCTAAATCAGCTGATGACTGATCACCAATCTAGCGAATTTGTGAATATTTATTTTAAATAATAATAAACTGAATTATGTTTATAAGATTGAAAAATATTATCCTTTATTAATAAAGTTTGTAAATAATGGGTAATTACACAATTGTAAAATGTGAATAAAGTTTTGCAATAAGATAGTTGTTCTCACATGTTAGTGATTAACCAAGACACAGTATATTGGACATGATTAACGTTTAAACTGAATACGGGTTTAAGGAATATAGTTTTTGTTGAAGAGACTTTTTAATAAGTTATTGTTCGCTTAAATATTGTTTAGTAAATAAGTGTTTGAGTCACAAAGTGATAGATCACTCAAAACCTTACACCTATGATGAAGAGTTTTGTATGACATTTGCGTAATTGACTGTCGTAATAAAATGAGCTCTCATCAATGTTGTGTTAGCAGCCTTAATATTGATAATTGTTGTACGGCGTATTTTAATTTAAACTTTCAGTTGATTATTCAGGTAAAATAAATATTAGTCAATGATTCAGAATATGTAACTTTAACAGGAAAGTAAATATGATTTCGCCATTAAAATTATTGGTCATTTTACCCATATATTTTATACACATAAATCTTTGAAAGATTGAACTAAGTATTTCAAAAAAATCATCAGGAAACATAAATCTTGACTTTTTAGAGTTTCAGTTCGAAGCATAAAGAAGATCTATCTTAAACAAACTTTCATGATGATAGTTTTGACTATGTTAATAAGTGTATATTTAACAAATATTTCTTTGGTTTAATCAAACAAAATGAGACAGGTTTGATTTCACAAGATGCACTAAATACGTTTTGATCGATTTATTTGAACTGTCATTAAATTGTAAACACCTAAAATATTTTTCTACAAGTAACAATAACATTTGCAATTGTGTGGAAATGCTGTGACTAAATTGACTGTTTCTGAAATTTTACTTGACATTCAGTTTCCCCAGTTTTTTTAAAATAACCGTTTACAAAAAACGTTAATATATAATAAATGGGATTAGATGACCTTTGTCAGGAATTATCTGACACACCAGTGTACTGCTAATCCAGAAAACTTAGGTTTAATACAATAGCCACTTTGTTGATAAAACCAATGATAAATACGAATCACTTACTTGACAAAAAATAGACAACGCAGCCAACCCATTTGGTTTGGATAGTGCAACTGAAAAATTTGGATATAAAATGTAATTGAATGCATACAATTGCAGCTGTGAAAAAAAGAAGAATAAAAAGTTATGACATTGTAATGTAAATTTTACTTTTGTCTCGCTTTATTCAGTTTATAAATTATTAAATATTATCTACATTAAATGCTTTAAACATCAACACAGGAATATCTCAACGGAAAATGATTTTAAAAGATGATTGACTTTGAATTAGTAATTACATGGCATCAAAATTAATCCATGTTGTGGCGAAAAGCGACTGTTCAAATAACAATTTAATCACAGTGGCTATGGCATAATGGCATGACCTAAGGGAAACTATCCAAACGAGTTTGGAAATACGTAGGTAAAGTCATACAGGTATGCTCCGATTCAGCTCAATAAATCAATTTAAATAATCTGCTAGCCCATATCATACTTTATCTCATTTATTACGAGGCTTGTTACAGCATTGTTTTTTTTTCCTGTCCCGTTTTCTAAATGCAAATTTTAATAAACTGAACTTGGTTTCGATAGCTTCTCTAATACTGCAGTTGTTACGCCAGGTCATTTTTGTTTACAGAAGAAACAAAGTGTTATTGTAAGACACCATCTGTGTCCTAATAGGTAACGAAAAATGAAAACTGAATTTGATAGTTTAGGTTTATTTTCATACTGCCTTAGTCAGCTAACTCTTATTGATAAGCAAGTTGGGTAGTGAAATTGAATAAAGTTTATGACCGGAGTTAATCGTAGAAAGGAGAGGTCAAACGACACAGACAAATGCTCTCTGATGGCTGTTTTAAATCCTTTCACCTATATAAGTATGTACTACAAAACAAAAACTTATTACATCTGTGACCTATATAATATGTATCAGTTAACTTAATTGTTACGTTTCTCTACTACTATCAAAAACTAAAGATATCTATCGTTCAAACAATTATGTCAATAAACAAATGGTTCTTTCTAATGACTTCATTATTGAAAATGCTACACTGCATAACTCGCTCTCAGTATCCATATTCACAGTATTTCCTTAAATCACATTGACTATTTCCAATAAATACAGTCGTTTAACTTTTAAAAATGAATAATCGAAGCAAAAATATCTTGTTGGCTGAAGAAATGTCTGTTATCATCTACCAGGAACTTAATGTTTATCTTTGTCAATAAGTACAGCCCCTTTTATATTTTCGGATTTGAAAAACTTGATAGTACTTATTGTCGATATTAGATTTTAAGTATAGATGTTAAAGCTTTATTTACAACTGCTTAAAATGAAACACATTTTTATTGTTCAAATTATTAATAAAACGTGTTCTATGTATACAAAGTACAAACATCTTTGTTAAATATGGGAATAGATTTACACTAATCGTTTGTAAATTATCTTTAAGTAAATTGTTCAAGCAAAAGGTTTTTACAATCTATGAATTATTATGATTATTATCTTGAACAAATAATTGTATAAACAATTAAGTCTGGTAAAAATGTGTATTTACTTGTGACCAAGTGATAGGCAGTCTCTCGACTATCTCGTGTCTCGTGACTCGACTCTCTCATTTAGAAATGAATAAATGTAGTTAATTTAAAAGTGGATATCAGAAACTGACCGATATCAAGCTGATTTTGAATAAACCTACTATGGAAAAGACTTTTGCGTTTAATGTAACTTTTCTGAATTGTTGCCAGATTTTTTTCAATATTTCGGACCATATTGCACAGTGAATACATATATACGCAAGATAGAACAACTTTGTTGATGACAAACCTAATATTAAGAATATATCACAACATTTCCCAGTCAGATTTCCGCTAGTTTCTTGAAAATGAACACGATTTTCACTGTTATTGAGTTCAGAACAACAGCCACTTTTCAATCACTAGATAGGATTTATAAGTATTTTATAGCAATAATCATCAGTTTTATTTAATGCAAATAAGCTACTTAAATAAGTTTAATTCATATGGGTAATTGAGTTTTACATATAAGGAATAATGTCTTAATGCGGACAGTAAGAAGAATTATACCTCAGCTGGAAAAGCAACACCATCAATTTGATGATCTGAACCACGATCTGACCTTGAACCAAATTTTATAATCACACCAAATAGTCTGTAATCGTATACCAACGGTCCTTCACTGAATACAATCAATGTTGTTGAATCAAGAATTTTCAATTGTAAATCTTGTCCAGTATTTACTATCTCCACGTCTATCTAAAAGTATCGATCAGGAAAGCATTTAGTGTATCAGTAATTTTCTGTTAGCTAGAGAATATATTATGAATGTTATATCTTATTTATGTACGATTAATCATCAGTTCCTTGATGAATCTCTATGTCAACATCAGCATGGTTTCAACTAAACAGTATAACTGAACAATTTGTCATAAAGTAGTACGGTGGGTTAATTTTAAATTTTTGGATTTAATTAGGGAGTGCAATAAATGGTTACAAGTAAATGCAGCTTATATAGGAATTACAGCCGACTCCTTCAAAACAAACTGCAATCTCTTAATTTGGTTACAGAAAACTAATAATATATGTATTTGAGACAGAACGCTTGCCTGTTTATCTAGGCCTAGTATTTTTAAAGGCTCCAAATTAGTATCAAATACTAGATGTCTTGTAGAGATGTTGATTGGTGATTGCATTTTCCCTTGATAGCAAATAGACCAAATGTCATTAGTAATAGCCATGAAAGCCATCTGCCCCCAGTGACTCGGACCTTGAACAAACAAAAACGAATATCATTCATTAATCATTTTGAAAATAAGTAGTTAAACTATATATGAGTAACTGCAAAATATGGACGGTTTATAAAATTTGCTTTATTTAAGAATTTCAAGAAAGTCAGAACAATAGTAGACAGATATACACAAATTCATCTTTATTACATGAGTTGTCAGCATTTTACTACAACCATTTCTATACTGATTTGTAGAAAAACTGAAATAACAGTGGATTATTAGTATTATATACATACATATATGTGTGAAATCATTTAAAGATAGATAAAGATTACATAAATCTGATCTCACTGTAATTATATGAAAATTGAAATTTTATAAAATTAATTACATAGTTATAATAGAAGATTTTAAAGAATAACATAGTCTTTTAGAGCAAAATGAAATTCTCGAATGAAAGGGATGTTAGCTAATTTTAACAATAACTGGAGAAAATTGAATATGTGCCATCAATTTACAATAGTATCGCTGAATTATCACGTGTCGGAAATCACAAATATTTTTTGACTAATAATAAGTCGGGATAATTATTCAGGTTTACCAATAGTTTTCAATATACAATAACGTTTCATGGCATTAGTTTTGTTCACAGTTTGGCATTTGTTTATTGTCAGAGTGACATTTTATTCAGTGTATTGTTAATTTATTTTCGGTGTGACATTTGAAATTCATTTTATATTCAATGTAATATTTTATTTAGTTTGATATTAGGGTAATTCTTTGAAGTGAAATTTTATTTCAAATCAGTGTGCACTTAATCACCTACTTGTAAATTTCATTTAACATAACAAATATAAACTTTCGTCCAACACTAGAATTTTTCTCTTTGCATTATTTAATGTGAACTTAATTTAAATGATTTTTATTCAATCGCCACTAAAAATCTCTGAAATCAGTACTTGTTTCCATGTCATCCCGTTATTTGGTGAGTTAGTTAACCTCGGCTTTGTCAGTTCTTGTTTTATCACTTTCTGTCTTCAAGTAGAGGCTGTATGATCATGGACATTACAGATTGATAAAATTTATTCCTTAAGAGAAGCAAAAATTAGTTGCCTCCATTTTAAATTAAATGTTGTGGAGAATCGAAGAACGATGACAATGTGCTCATTGTTGATTCAATATTTAGCTATGGAAATTTTCGGTTCCATACACGTTTCAGTCTTTGGTTCACTGTAAAATGCTCTTGAAAGCAAACATGTACTGTTTCATCCCCTTTTCCAGAGAATGATTGCAGTTTTTTCTTCCAGTTTTGCTTTGGTCAAAAGTGGTTTGCACAATTTCCTTTTACTGACTTATTAGGCAGAAACTATTTTAATTTAGACAGACAAAACTTAAATGCTTTCGTGACAGATATCCCTCTGTAGCCTTCCAATCAAAGTTTGTTAAATTCTAAAATCCATGGTCTGATTATATTTTCCCACTCATATACCAAGGTGAATTTGTTATTATGGCGTGCTCTGGGGAGATATGTGGAATACTTTATACGATCATGGATACTAAAAGTGTCATTAACTTGTTTACAACTGAATGTTGTTTCACTGTCTGTTTAACACTCCTCATTAATATTTAGTATTAAATATCTATTAATTCACACCATGCTATATTTTAGTACATATGTAGTTGTGGGATATCGATTCGAATACATGAAATAAAAATCATTTCATATATTTTGTGCTAATTGTTCTTCCCTGTTTATTCAGATCATGAAATTTATGATTTTATTCTTGACAGTTTTAAAATTTGATACTGAGATACCAATCAGCTTCCGATTTCTAAATTAAAACAAGTAACTTTTATATCACAGATAGGTTTTTATTATGTCGTGATTATTGACCAGCTTGGAACTATTCATCCAGGTACATCTGAAATTTATTATTGGCTTGCATACCGGGACATGGTCCCAGAATCTTTTCTTTAACTTCCCATCATATTATCCACTGACTTGCTGAGTCCAGGTAGCCTTACGAATAAGATTAAAATTTGAAGCCATTGTACAAACTTCTTCGCAAAATACACATATACCAACTAAGAATGTTCAGCGTTCAGTTCAGAATTTCGGCAATGAAATAAGCGGTATCTTCAAAAGTTAAAAATTCTTACAGGACTATACTAACTTTAGTTGATTACTCACGCATGAATGGAAGTTTGGATTACAGAAGTTTGTTTTATCTACAGCTCGTTCCTTTACAGAATAATGTTTGCGTTTACGCTCTAATTTACCACTGAATAAATTTTATACAAATAAACTTTGGTAACACGCACAATCACATGTAGAACGTTTACTGAAGTGCTTTTTGTAAAAACCTTTCTATATTATGACAAATATATGTTCAGTTGAAAAAATCGCTTATTAAATCGAATTATTGAATGTTTGATTACATACCTCCAATTACACCTTCTTTGTAATGCCACCAGGAGTTTAGGGTGGAATCCCAGGACTTTTCTTGCCACATAGCGTCTAGCAACTCTTAAAATATTCAGAGAAAAAATAATTGCATGCTTCTGATTAAAAATCTTGAGTGATGAATAGTTCAATAAATAATACTGAGATATTTTTTCTTTTGCATACACAAGACTAACAAGACAACGAAAAGACATTAAATAAATTCACGAAACACTTTTAAGATGCATTTTATGTAGGGAGCAAAGTTTTAAAAGGTTAGGAATAAACATTTTATTTTTTCTAGACCTATCCCAAAATCATCAAGTAGTATTGAAAATGTATCACTTACTACATAAACAAGCTGATCGAAACTTACTTTAATTTTCGTTATTTTAATATTTAAAAACATAAATTAATGAAAGACTAGTGACTGTATATACCATAATCTATTTTTTCAAATTTACCTACTAAAATTCTGTAAAAATTCTCCTTAAAATAACTCTTAGCCATCAATCATCCAAATGAATGGAATGAGTTTATAACTATGAAATCAGCATTCTTTGATATCCTTCTAACAATTTAATGCACAATACAAACACCAAACTAAATTTCAGTTGAATCTCCACTATTTTGTGCTGTAGGCTAGAATCCTTCGATCCATTTGAAGAATTGTTTATTAATTCGAGGTTTGTAGTGAAGTATGAAAGTGATCCTATCATCTAATGGACCAATCATAGTACGATTAATGAGACTATTAGTTAGAATAGGTAAGATACTAGAAATTAATTCGGTCAGTTTATTCATTACTAAGGATAAATCAATATCGTTAAGATACTCTTCAAAAAGTAGAAAATAATATAACTGTTGGAGGATTTGAAAAAAGAGTTAAGGAAAGTAAGGAATCGAATTCTTATGCAATAAGGTGAACCACAAACATTAATTAGCACTCACGAATTTGCCAACCATTCAGCAACTACAGATTGCGAATTAGTTGAACATGAAATATAAGCTTTAAAAAATACTATGAGGAAAGCTTATCACGGTTTTAAGTGGCAAAAGTAATAAGCGACTGATAGATAATGCACCCTTTCTTCTCAATAATTTTGATTCATTGTTCAGGCTAATTGCAGCGCGAGTTAAAATGAGAGTATATAAATGAACTTGAATGTCATGTTACGTGTGTCTTACGTTTACTTATGGCTCGGTGTATTTGAAAATTGCAAGGCATAGGATTTACAAAGATCTCTGTAATGTAAAATTTATTTGAACACATCTTTATCAAATAAGCGGATACGCCCTATTCAATCTAATGAAATTGTTCACAAAACACTGAGACTGACATCTAATAAAATAAAAAAGTTTCAGCATACACAAACTTTTTGACGCTTGAGATATTATGTTGAGGGTTTAAATTTCACCAAAAAGACGCAAATTTCAGTACGTAAGTGAAATAATAGCAGTTTTGAGCAAAACATCTATCTAAAAATTGCAGTTCTTTTTGAAACAGTCAAAGATGATTATATCCAAAAACGAATAATTAATTTTGAAAACACATATGAAAAAAGCGTCTGTTAACAATAGTTCAAAAAATAACTAAATCGCAAAAGAGAAGGTTTGTAGTAAGAATCATTATCACTGATTTATGTGATATTCGCTGAAATTTCAGGCTCCTTTTGTTGTCTTTTTGCTTGTCTTCGACATATTGAAAAACTATTTAGAGCGTGCTACTGAAATGTTGACAGTGCTAGGAATGCACTTTAGGTCGTACAACAATGCAACTACATTACCTAACGTATACTTTTGATATAAACAATAATTTTCTGCTAACTTGGCTATCAACAGAAGATCTTATGCAAAGCTTTCTGCAAAGTTATAGACAAATTGTAACGTGGTGAACAACAAACACCCTGAAAAGCAGTTATTAAAGATGATCACTATGAAATATGACAGTAAAGTAGCATCAAAAATCGCATATGATGCACACACTTGATATGCAGCTCAAGTGCATTGAATTGAAAATAATTTTCAGTTTTGCAAGCCACAAAGAATCGCCAATAACGGTATTGTTTATATATTTAAAACAAACATTCCGATAAAATAAAAGCCAAAATTAAAAGTTATTAGGAGCCCTAGTGAATTTCATATATTTACTTGAAAGTAAAACATTTGTCTATGGACGAATTTAGCGAGTGAGTAGAAAAATACAAAACAGGAAGAAAATAAGAATTTTGAAGGTGGCAAAAACTTGATAATTCATATTGGTTTATAAATAAGCGTATATATAAGAAAACATAAAGACAAATGATAACCATGAAAAACCATAATATGGTAAAACTTTCACACAACATCTCTGAGTTACGAACTAAAATATGCTAAATCGATTATATCAGTCAGGGAGTGAGTACCTGATGATGACTGACATTTAGGTCTAACCGCAGTGATAATGCTTCTTAAAAGTTTTTTTCACATTTTTTTTATCACAGCGGTATTTTTACGACAGTGTATAAAAACTTTACATCAAGTTGGTCATAAAATGATAAATACGCTCTTGTTCTCGTCTCATGTGCGTATTGTGGTCAATTTTTCACAACCAAAATGTTTACGTAAAACCTGTACATTCATAATATTTCGGTCAAAAATTAAAAATGCTTTCAAGTCCAGGCTTACAAGTGTAGTGAAAACAGACTGATATTTACTTATATATATATACTTGTATTATTTTTCGGTTCTAAATTATATAGTGACGAATATATGACAAATTAAATAAAAGTATATCGATACTTGAACATTCAAATGAAAATAAGAGTAAAACTGTATCCTTAATCATAAATTTGTTCTTATACATAAAACCAGTTTTCATAACATAGATAAGTAACTGAGTTCAAAAATAATTAAAATAGGGAAAAAAAAAGATTTTTAAAAATCTGCTAGCTCAGTCTTGGGGGAGTTTTATTCGGTGAATGTTTTCGGATGTTAGATGTTGTCGTGGGACTCTGCAACTATGGTGATGTCAGCAAAAGAACCTTAAGTAAGTTTTTGTGCTGAGTAATAAGCTACAAAATGATTATACTTCAAGACAGAACACTAGACTTACAATAGACTTACAAAACCAGTTTGAAATATTCCATGTAACATTTTACACTAAACCGCAAAGTGCCGGCAACTGCCTACAAAAGGTTCAGTTAGGTTGCAAAAGTATATCAAGTTACCAAGACGAAACCTATATAGTTTCTTATCTAAATTAATTAGTTTCCATAAAAGCTCGTTTGTAAAGATTGTGAGATATCCATCAAGGTTTAAAGAAGTTTCGATAGGCATGCGAAAGAATTCTTATTTAGGCAAACATGACAATCTTAATAGATCCATCAAATAATAAAAAATTCAACATCTGATGAAAGCTTACTCAAGAGTTCCAGAAACAAAGCATAAGACTATTATCTACCTCAATGAAGTTTAAGTATGATCCGTTGTTTTATAAACTACGGCGATCAATAGTGTAGTATTAAATAAGACGGTAAAAAGGCTTTGTTACACCGGTTAGCCTGGAAACACCCGAAAATATAATTATGAGGTAAAAATAAAATTTCGAAAACCACATTGAAGTTCATACTCTGCATCCGTATCTTCAGTGCTTATACAGTGAGTCTACATTCTTTATAAGAAATGGAACTTATACAGCACAGAAAAGTCGCTCATAAATTTTTGTCGTAAAACCACGTACAAGTGAGTAAAGCTAAATATAGAGCATAAAAACCAGACAATGTAGGACTTTCATCAATGTCAAAAACTTTGAGATCAGATAAAGGAGTAACTCATACCCTATCCTGGCTGAACAGCAAGGTAGGACTAATACGAATGACACCGACCATAATAGTAGTATAACACATAAATAATCGAAAAACTTACTGGTAACAGTAGAGGAAATAATAACGAAAACTGTTAAAATTCCTAAATTCATTCCCACAGATCAGGTGGGCGCATCTGTTTGCTATGGAGAGTTTTCACCATAACGGAGCTACAGTCTAAATGGATGTGCGCAGTATGATGTGACAGATTCAAGTTTGAGACACTTAAGGTCGTTTGAGGAAAATAATAATCAACTTACAAAAAATACATTTATGTCAAAAACATAAGCTTTCATTCTTGTTAATAACAAAGGAAATAAAATTATTCTTTAAAATGACTATGATATTCTCCAAACGTTGTAAAAAGAATAGGATCCCTAATGTTTACAATAATATCGTGTTTTCGAGTCATTTGGGAAGAAGGTGCGGAATATGAGAGACGGAATTCTGTGTCAAAACTTTCGATTAAGTATTCATCATCATCAGTATGCACAGCGTTTAGATCTCTAAGTACGTCATTTATGAATCTGTGAAAATGTTACACACTATTTGTTAGACCGAAGGGCAAACAAACAATTTCAATCGTGTGAAATGGTCCACTTCTATTAGTACATGAGCCCATCCTTTTAATCCGCAAGGGTTTTTAAACAGGCACCAGATGTTGAGACAGGGGTTGTAGGACACTAACTCCATATAGTGATCTTAGAATTCTCGGTGTCATACTTGGAAGTAAGCTTGCTTCCACACATCGGGACAGCAAATTCGTATTGCTGATGATTGTATCGCCTACTCATTGCCAGTTACAACCAGTGGCTCTGTATTTAAACGTAACTTCTGCAATTCATGGGTTAACTGTTGTTACGTTACTGCAGTATTAAGACAGTAAAATGGGTTCGTACCAATTCATTCCTGTCCGTAGTTATGGAGTGTATATCTACAGGGAAGCATCATTAGACCAGTAAAATCAAAGAAGCGATATTCACTGAGTTTAGTTAACGTTCCAGTATCGAAGGGTAGCTTACTGGAAAGTAGGAGTATCTTAGTGAATAAAAATGCTATAGATACAACGCAATGCTTGTTATGAACAGTACCCTGACAAAACTATACAATATGTCTGAGGATAAGAATATAGCTGAATTGGGACCGTTCCATCGAAGACAAATTTAGACTCGGCACAGACTTCGAGGAAACCATTTTGACATTTCAGAAACCCTAGTTTTAGTTGTTCTCGCTGAAGCTGGTTAGTAAGAACACCGGTTACAAAATCAATAAAGAGCCAAGTGCCGACCAGCATAGTGGTTCACTGAGTGCTTGAGATCGTTGGTGGTAGTTTGGATGCGACTAACGCACACGATATGCTACAATGATGATGGCTACCACATACGATAACAATAAGCGCCTATGTTCTGTGAAATCCGTGACATCTCACATACTGCAAGTGCTCGTATCTGATGGCGGTTGACCTGAAATATCGGAAAGACCTGACTATGACACTGCAGGTATGATGCGGCACGAATAATCATCTCTCCGTTCTTGGAAGAATTCGCAATAGCCGACATAGATCTGTGAGACAGGGAGGCACGTATGCTGGTTCGTCAGCTGCCTATAACAATGCCGCTCCTAATACATGTTATTCTATTTCCGGGTTTGTGGTCTGTTGTCTATGACAGCATTCTGGATGATATCTCTAACTGTTTGCCAGTGATCATCTGCTGTCTGCCTCCGCCATTCCCGCAGCTATGGGAAATTCAGAGGGTCCTCTCTCATTCGCCAGTTATTCGCCCCAGTTTAGCAAGCACAGGCACGTTTTCGTCTTGTGTGTGTTTCGTTTGTTACCATGTTAAACAGCACTGCGGCGTGGTAACTACTTCCTATTGGTGTATGGACGTTAAAATCCTCTACCAGTAGCTAACCATTTGTTGACAATTAATCCAACGTGCTCAGTGAGGCCAGAACTTCTAATGACTGTGCCAAGTCGTCTTTGGAACCAACCAGTGGGAGCTGTACCCGGCTTGCCAGCTCAATTCATCAGACTCCAAACAAGTCGGTGAATCCCGAATGGTCATTTCACAAGGAACTGGCGTGCACAGTGTATTCCATCTGCACTATCGTGATCTTCACGTATTTTACCGTGAACTGTCGTTCTAGATCGAGCGGTATTAATATGTGCTTATTTAGGCCACCCTGTTTCACAGATCTAGATCTAGATCCAAGACCGGAGAGATGATTATTCGTGCCGCATCGTACCTGCAGTGTCATAGTCAGGTCTTTCCGATATTTGAGGTCAACCGCCATCAGATACGAGCACTTGCAGTATGTGAGATGTCACGGATTTCACAGAACATAGGCGCTTATTGTTATCGTATGTGGTAGCCATCATCATTGTAGCATATCGTGTGCGTTAGTCGCATCCAAACTACCACCAACGATCTCAAGCACTCAGTGAACCACTATGCTGGTCGGCACTTGGCACTTTATTGATTTTGTAACCGGTGTTCTTACTGACCAGCATCAGCGAGAACAACTAAAACTAGGGTTTCTGAAATGTCGAAATCGTTTCCTCGAAGTCTCTGCCGAGTCTAAATTTGTCTTCGATGGAACGGTCCCAATTCAGCTAGATTCTTATCCTCAGACATATTGTATATTTTTGTCAGGGTACTGTTCATAACAAGCATTGCGTTGTATCTATAGCATTTTTATTCACTAAGATACTCCTACTTTCCAGTAAGCTACCCTTCGATACTGGAACGTTAACTAAACTCAGTGAATATCGCTTCTTTGATTTTACTGGTCTAATGATGCTTCCCTGTAGATATACACTCCATAACTACGGACAGGAATGACTTGGTACGAACCCATTTTACTGTCTTACTACTTCAGTAACGTAACAACAGTTAACCCTTGAATTGCAGAAGTTACGTTTAAATACAGAGCCACTGGTTGTAACTGGCAATGAGTAGGCGATACAATCATCAGCAATACGAATTTGCTGTCCCGATGTGTGGAAGCAAGCTTACTTCCAAGTATGACACCGAGAATTCTAAGATCACTATATGGAGTTAGTGTCCTACAACCCCTGTCTCAACATCTGGTGCCTGTTTAAAAACCCTTGCGGATTAAAAGGATGGGCTCATGTATTTATAGAAGTGGACCATTTCACACGATTGAAATTGTTTGTTTGCCCTTCGGTCTAACAAATAGTGTGTAACATTTTCACAGATTCATAAATGACGTACTTAGAGATCTAAACGCTGTGCATACTGATGATGATGAATACTTAATCGAAAGTTTTGACAGAGAATTCCGTCTCTCATATTCCGCACCTTGTTCTCAAATGACTCGAAAACACGATATTATTGTAAACATTAGGGATCCTATTCTTTTTACAACGTTTGCAGAATTTTACAGTCATTTTAATGAATAATTGTATTTCCTTTGTTATTAACAAGAATGAAAGCTTATGTTTTTGACACAAATGTATTTTTTGTAAGTTGATTATTATTTTCCTCAAACGACCTTAAGTGTCTCAAACTTGAATCTGTCACATCATACTGCGCACATCCATTTAGACTGTAGCTCCGTTATGGTGAAAACTCTCCATAGCAAACAGATGCGCCCACCTGATCTGTGGGAATGAATTTAGGAATTTTAACAGTTTTCGTTATTATTTCCTCTACTGTTACCAGTAAGTTTTTCGATTATTTATGTGTTATACTACTATTATGGTCGGTGTCATTCGTATTAGTCCTACCTTGCTGTTCAGCCAGGATAGGGTATGAGTTACTCCTTTATCTGATCTCAAAGTTTTTGACATTGATGAAATTCCTACATTGTCTGGTTTTTATGCTCTATATTTAGCTTTACTCACTTGTACGTGGTTTTACGACAAAAATTTATGAGCGATTTTTCTGTGCTGTATAAATTCCATTTCTAAAAAAGAATGTAGACTCACTGTATAAGCACTGAAGATACGGATGCAGAGTATGAACTTCAATGTGGTTTTCGAAATTTTATTTTTACCTCATAATTATATTTTCGGGTGTTTCCAGGCTAACCGGTGTAACAAAACCTTTTTACCGTCTTATTTAATGTAACACTATTGATCGCCGTAGTTTATAAAACAACGGATTATACTTAAACTTCATTGAGGTAGATAATAGTCTTATGCTTTGTTTCTGGAACTCTTGAGTAAGCTTTCATCAGATGTTCAATTTTTTATTATTTGATGGATCTATTAAGATTGTCATGTTTGCCTAAATAAGAATTCTTTCGCATGCCTATCGAAACTTCTTTAAACCTTGATGGATATCTCACAATCTTTACAAACGAGCTTTTATGGAAACTAATTAATTTAGATAAGAAACTATATAGGTTTCGTCTTGGTAACTTGATATACTTTTGCAACCTAACTGAACCTTTTGTAGGCAGTTGCCGACACTTTGCGGTTTAGTGTAAAATGTTACATGGAATATTTCAAACTGGTTTTGTAAGTCTATTGTAAGTCTAGTGTTCGGTCTTGAAGTATAACTATTTTGTAGCTTATTACTCCGCACAAAAACTTACTTAAGGTTCTTTTGCTGACATCACCATAGTTGCAGAATCCCACGACAACATCTAACATCCGAAAACATTCACCGAATAAAACTCCCCCAAGACTGAGCTAGCAGATTTTTAAAAATCTTTTTTGCCCCATTTTAATTATTTTTGAACTCAGTGACTTATTTATGTTATGAAAACTGGTTTTATGTATAAGAACAAATTTATGATTAAGGATACAGTTTTACTCTTATTTTCATTTGAATGTTCAAGTATCGATATACTTTTATTTAATTTGTCATATATTCGTCACTATATAATTTAGAACCGAAAGATAATATAAGTATATATATATAAGTAAATATCAGTCTGTTTTCACTATACTTGTAAGCCTGGACTTGAAAGCATTTTTAATTTTTGACCGAAATATTATGAATGTACAGGTTTTACGTAAACATTTTAGTTGTGAAAAATTGACCACAATACGCACATGAGACGAGAACAAGAGCATATTTATCACTTTATGACCAACTTGATGTAAAGTTTTTATACACTGTCGTAAAAATACCGTTGTGATAAAAAGAATGTGAAAAAAACTTTTAAGAAGCATTATCACTGTGGTTAGACCTAAATGTCAGTCATCATCAGGTACTTACTACCTGACTGATAT